TTCATGAGAGAGATTGGTCTGTAATTCTCTTTCTTTGTTGCATCTTTGTGTGGTTTGGGTATCAAGGTAACTGTAGTCTCACAAAAAGCATTTGTTAATGTTCCTTCTGTTTCTATTGTTTGGAACAATTTGAAGAATATTGATATTATCTCTTCTTTGAAAATCTGGTAGAATTCTGCGCTGAAACCATCTGGTACTGGACTTTTTTTGGTTGGGAGACTTTTAATGACTGTTTCTATTTCCTTAGGGGTTATTGATCTATTTAAATAGTTTATCTGGTCTTGATTTAACTTTGGTATGAGATACCTATCCAGAAAATCATCCATTTCTTTCAGATTTTCCAATTTTGTGGAGTACAGGTTTTTGAAGTATGACCTGATGATTCTCTGGATTTCCTCATGGTCTGTTGTTATGTCTCCCTTTTCATTTCTGATTTTGTTAATTTGAATGCTCTCTCTCTGCTTTTTGGTTAATTTGGATAAGGGTTTGTCTATCTGGTTGATTTTCTCAAAGAACCAACTCTTTGTTTCATTGATTCTTTGTATTATTCTCTGTTTCTATTTTATTGATTTCAGCCCTCAATTTGATTATTTCCTGGTGTCTGTTTCTCCTGGGTGAGTTTGCTTTTTCTTGTTCTAGAGCTTTCAGTTTTGTTGTTAAGTCACTAGTGTGACATTTCTCCAATTCCTTTATGTGGGTATTTAGTGCTATGAATTTTCCTCTTAGCACTGCTTTCCTAGTGTCCCATAAGTTTGGGTACGTTGTACATTTGTTTTCATTAAATTCTAGGAAATTTTAAATTTCTTTCTTTATTTCCTCCTTGACCCATTGGTGATTCAATTGGGCATTATTAAGTTTCCATGAGATTGTAGGCTTTTTGTTGTTGTTGAAATCTAACTTTAAGCCATGGTGGTCCTATAAGATACAGGAGGTCATTTCAATTTTTTGTATGTGTTGAGATTTGCTTTGTGACCAAACATGTGGTTAATTTTGGAGAAGGTTCCATGGGGTGCTGACAAGAAGGTATATTCTTTTGTGTTAGGGTGGAATAATCTGTAGATATCTATTAAGTCCATTTGCGTCATAATATCTGTTAGTTTCCTTATTTCTTTGTTAAGTTTCTTGCTGTGGGATGTTCTCTATGCTGTGAATGTGTTGCTCTGATTGGTTACTAAATAAAGTGCTGATTGGCCAGTAGCCAGGCAGGAAGTGTAGGCGGGACAAAAAGAGAGGAGGATTCTGGGAGGAGGAAGGCTGAGACAGAGAGATGCTGCCAGCCGCCGCCATGAGAAGATGTTAAGATACCACTAAGCCATGAACCATGTGGCAACTTATAGATTAATAGAAATGGGTTGATTTAAGATATAAGAATAGTTAGCAAGAAGCCTGTCACGGCCATATAGTTTATAAGTAATATAAGTCTCTCTGTGTTTACTTGGTTGGGTCTGAGCAGCTGAGGGATTGGCAGGTGAGAGATTTGTCCTCACCATGGGCCAGGCAGGACTGAAGAAAACTCTAGCTACAGTTTCTATCTGGCAGACCTGTCCATTGGTGAGAGTGGGGTGTTAACGTCTCCCACTACTAGTGTATGGGGTTTGATGTGTGATTTAAGCTTTAGTAATGTTTCTTTTACAAATGTAGGTGCCCTTGTATTGGAGGCGTAAATATTCAGAATTGAGACTTCATCTTGTCGGATTTTCTCTGTGATAAATTTGTAATGTCTTTCACATTCTCTTTGAATTTAATTTGAAGTCCATTTTATTAGATATTAGGAAAGCTACACCAGCTTGCTTCTTAAATCCATTTGATTGGAAAGTCTTTTCCCAGCCTTTCATTCTGAGTTGTCTTTGAAGTTGAGGTGTGTTTCTTGTATACAGCAAATGGATGGATCTTATTTTGATATCCATTCTGTTAGCCTGTGTCTTTTTACAGGTGAATTGAGACCATTGATACTAATGAATATTAATGACCAGTTATTGTTAATTCCTGTTATTTTTTGGTGGTAGTGTTGTATGTTTCCCTTCTTTGGTATTTGTTGGTGTGGGACTATCTATTGCCTGTGTTTTCATGGGTGTATCTAACTTCCTTAGGATGGATTTTTCCTTCAAGTGTTTTCTGTAGGGCTGGATTTGTGGAGAGATATTGTTTAAATCTGATTTTATCATGGAATATTTTGTTTACTCCGTCTATGTTGATTGAGAGTTTTGCTGGCTATAATGGTCTAGGTTGGCTTCCATGGTCTCTTAGTGTCTGCATAACGTCTGTCCAGGATTTTCTGGCTTTTAGAGTCTCCATTGATAAGTCAGGTGTTATTCTTATGGGTCTGCCTTTATATGTTACTTGACCTTTTTCCTTTTCAGCTCTTAATATTTTTTCTTTATTCTGTATGTTTAGTGGTTTGATTATTATGTGGCAAGGGGACATTATTTTTAGATCCAGTCTATGTGGTGTTCTGTAACCTTGTATCTTTATAGGCATTTCCTTCTTTAGGTTGGGAAAGTTTTCTTCTATGATTTTGTTGACCATATTTTCTGTGCCTTTGGTTGGTATTCTTCTCCTTCTTCTATCCCTATTATTCTTAAGTTTGGTCTTTTCATGGTGTCCCAAATTTCCTGGACATTTTGGGTCATGACTTTGTTAGCTTTAGTGTTTTCTTTGACTGATGATTCTCTTTCCTCTATCGTATCTTCAACACCAGAGATCCACTCTTCTGTCTCTTGCATTCTGTTGGTTATGCTTGCATCTGTAGTTCCTGTTCATTTACTCAGATTTGCCACTTCTAGCATTCCCTCAGTTTGTGTCTTCTTTATTGTCTAGGTTTCAGTTTTCAAATCTTGAACTGTTTCCCTTACTTGTTTAATTGCTTTCTCTTGGTTTTCAAGGGATTTACTGATTTCTTCCCATTTTTTGTTTGACTTTTCCTCGAATTCTTTAAGGGAATTTTTCATTTCCTCTTTAAAGATCTCTATCATCTTCTTAAGGTCATTTTAAAGGTTGATTTCTTCTGTTTCTTCTGTGTTGGGATGTTCAGGTCTTGCTGATGTAGGTTCTGATGGAGCCATATTGGTTTTTATGTTGTTGACTACTGGCGTCTACCTATCTCTTTCTCCACTTGGTACAAGTGGTGTCTGTGTCTGAGGGAGCCTCTCTTGGTCTGATTGATACTCTTGGTCCAGTGAGACCTCTTGGTCTAGTCGGTGCTGATGGACTCTTTGTCTCAGGGAGCAGCTCTTAGCCAATTGGTGCTTGTGGGCTCTGTCTCAGGGAGTAGCTGCAATCTTGGCATGTGGATGGGTTGGGAGGGGTGGGGCTTGTGGGTTACAGGATCTGGTGGGTGATGGTGGTAGTCTGACTTGTCTGCAGTAGGTAGTCTGCCAACTGACCTGAAACTGGGACTGTAATGGGTGGTGGTGTAGGGGCGCAGGGTTGTGCCCCTGAGTCCAAAGCCTAGGAGCTGGGGTGTTCAGGTATGAGGATAAAGACTCACCTCTTAGTCCAATTGGGTGCTGGCAGGCTGTCTCAGGGAACAGCTGCAGTCTTGGAAGATGGGTGGGATTTGGGAAAGGTGGGGCTTGGGTTACAGGGTCTGATGGGGGATGGTGGTAGTCTGACTTATCTGCAGGTCTGCCTCTGCTGACTGGCCTGAAACTGGGACTGCAATGAGTGGTGGTGTAGGGACACAGGGTTGTGACCCTGGGCCCCACCTAAACAAAGACTTACCTCTTAGTCCAATCGGGTGCTGACAGGCTCTGTCCACATTTTAGGTTTTTAAAGATAGGGTTCCATGTCAATCAGGCTGCTCTTGAACTCTATGTAATTGGAGATGACCTTGAACTCCTGACCATTCTGCTTCTGTCTTCTGAGCATTGCAGGTATGACTCTCTATGCCTGTTTTTGTTACATATTCCTTTGTGTTTGTTTAAGACTGGGTCTCACTGTGAAGCCCTGGCTTAGAAATTGTGGCTACCTCCTACCTCTACTTCCCACATGCCAGAATTACAGGTCTATGCCACCATGCCTGACTGGTTTTAAAATACATTCTTACCTAGCAATTTTTCTCTGGGATTATCTTCCACTGGACATTGAGCCAGCTGCCTAATGTCACACAGACAAGGTTTAGTCTCAACACAACCACAACCAACCATGTAGAGGTTGTGTGTGTTTCTTCAGGACAGTGTTAGTTGTGACAAAGCAGCTGCTAGGCTTGGGATTTTAGTACCTTACTCTTTGAGAATGTTTGCTAATCCCCGCTCCATTCTACCCTCTGTACTGCTGCTGACACCTCTGATGTCCTGATTCTCAAACTAACAGTGCCTACCCTCAACAGAGTAGATCACCACTAGCCCCTTCCCAACCATGGTCTTGGGGAGACCAGGCCAAGGTGCAGGAAGCTACGTAAGTGCTCAACATCACAATCATGGCAGAGAATGGGTGCACTGGAGCACATGTTTGATCACTTCCACACTGATGAGGCATTCTAACTAAAGTAAAAAAGCCGAGCAATAAAGGGTCCAGTCAGGCATGGTGATGACTGGAGTGTATGTACACAGAGTTCAGTCCCAGAAGTCAGGAATCAGAGGCCACTGGATACTGAGTCCTAGGCCAGAATGGGTTATATAGTGAGCACCAGTATCAACTTAAAATGGAGGATCTAAAACAGATCCGTGTGGGGAGTGTCCTCAAAATCCCCCAAATTGGGCTAAATGTGAAAGGGGAGGATTGGTGGTAAAGTCATGTTACTGATCTTGATGGTGACATTTCATTCATACCTGGCTTGGGCTCACCGGGTGATCACGATGGTACCCCTGGCTACTAGCTCTGTGATGGGTCAGTCTTGTAGGGAACTTTTTGCATTCTGGAAAGCATGCTGGCCTGTTTATAAAAAAAGACCCAGCAATACACATATTTTCTTAGTCCCCAAATAAAGATCCAAAAAACCAAAATCACTGTATGCCTCCTGATTAGTCTGGCTGTAGCAAAACCCAGAAATGCACACAGAATTCACTCTAAATCGCTGTGCTTTAATAGTATCCAGAAGTGGCAGAGAGAGATGCTCAGCTTCTCAGGAAGGTTGAAGGAAGTGCAGAGTGGACAGCATCTGCCTCAACTGTGATGCCAAGTGCAGCCTCTGTTCTGGACTATGTGCTGCTCCGGGAGTTACTTTTCCCAGGTCCTGCCACTTTGGGCAACCTAGTAGCACTGGGCTGGCGTGGCATCCTCTGGATGGGTCCTTCACGGCTTCCACGTTCTGCCACTATGGGCACACTGCCAAGAGTGGGGCCACCTCTGTTTCTTCCTGAAAAGACATAGAACCCAATAATTCGGATGGGGCAGACTCCAGCTGTAACACACTCACCATTTGGTTTCTTGGGGAATGTGCTTATCTATCTGCTGTATTAACCTGCTTCAGCTGCAAATATGTGATTGGTAATTTTGGTTGTCAACTTGAACACATCTAGAAAGAACTAAAACCTAAGATGCTGGCACATGAGTAAGGGATTTTCTTAACTGGATTAGTTGATGTGCGAAGACCAAAACTAAATCTGGGCCACGCCTCTGGTGGCAGTCCACATGAAAGGACAGGTAAGAAGGACGCTCATGCCTTTTGCCTGCTTGTTCTCATCTTCCCTGGTACATCTGTCCCATTGCTGAGGCATTCCTCTGCTGGTGTTAGGATCTACTTCTTGGGGACTCCAACACAGACTGAAGACCAGGAGCGCTGTAGGAAGCCTTGGGGACTCCAGCACCACATTGGAAATGCCGAGATGGCCAATCTGGTAAACTAAACAAACTACTTGATTCTTGGATTTTCTGTTGAACTGTATCACTGACTTCAGCCTGTAAGCCACTTTAATAAATCAATTTTAAATATATTTTATCCGTAATAAATTATTTTAACATATATTTTCATTTAATCAGTTTTGTTCCTTTAAAGAACCCTGACTAATAAAGACTGTGGCACCAGGAGTGGATCTAGAGAAATAGAATTTTAAGGATAAACTTTTTAAGTATCTGAAACAGGTTTTCCAAATTCACCAATAGCTACAGTTACTGAAGGCTCTTCCAGTGCCATGGAGAACATTACAAATCCATGGTGTGAACTATTTAAGCAACTTATTAACATCAATGCATCTGATTGCCCTGATTCACCTACTATAAGGAACTAGTGTAATTGAACACTAAGTTGTAGTGACTTTATACATAAAACTCTTGACAATTTGTAGAAAAGTTAGGAAAATAATGATGCTGACTGGTTGCCTCTAGCATCTCCAGATAAACCAACAAAGTCTAAAGGTTTCTAAGTGTGCCCTGGAAGAGAATCTTCTCTTCAGCAGCCACAGAGCTCAAGTTGCAGAAAATCAGCCTGAACCCTTCATAAAGTTGGCTGGGTTACAAAGGAAATTCAAGTCCCAACCTCAGAGGGCTTTGGCAGTTAAAGGGCACTGATTGGTAAGGACTGGGAACTTGGAACTTGGGATGCAGGTGTGGGGGATCCTACTGAGGCTGAGGACTTTGGTCCCTCAGAATCTGAATGGTTTATCTCCCCACCTTTATCAGAGGATTCATCCCCACCCTGACCCTGCAGTCAGCCTTTGCCACCTTTGTCTAAGGGAATTAAAGGAATCAGCAGTGACAATCTTCTCTGAAGGAGATGCCAGGCAGCACAATACTGATGTCCCCAGGGCCCACCAATAGTTGTCTTGATACTTAGAACCAGATTTAAAGCTAAGAAGGCTCCTAGAGAGGCCATAGGAAGTGTAATCAGTGAAGAAGAGGTGGGTTATACTACTAAAGAACTTAATGAGTTTGATGATTCATTCTAGCAGAAGTCTGGGGACTATGTGTGGGGATGGACTTAAGGATGGGGATAATGGTGGAAGGAACATAAAACTCAGTCCTTCTGAGTTTATTACATGGATGTTATTATTCCTAGCCACTTCTGGAGTCACGTGACGTTCATGTGCTGTCAGCAGTCAGACAAAATGCTTAGTCACTCCAGGGCCTTACATAGTGTAGTCACATAATCTTCATAGAGCGTGGTCATGTAATCAATGCACATGCATGGCATAGCTATGTAAACCCATATTTGTAAGCTTGAGGTGACCTATAAAAGCAGACTCCACCCACTCCCCTTCTCTCTCCACGTTTCTCCTCTGGTAGGCCTACTCAAGACTATACTTTCCCTTCCCTAATAAAAACTCTTATAGTGGGTTCTGTTGTACCTCATGTTCTCTCTCGCCCAGTAAACAACTCCTACAAATAAATAACATTGGTGCCATGACCAAACAGGCTCTCCTGGTGTCCTGCACTGGGATCCTGAACCAAGGTTGGTTCATCCGCAACTGCCCACTTTCCATTTGCCTGGGCGAGGAATTTGCTACTTCGTTTGGTGAGTTTTCCCTTTACCAGTCAGCTAAAACACTTCCCTGGACCTGTGGGGATGACCGTTGATCATCCAGCATCCTTCTGGTGTCCTTGGGAGTGGGAGTACCCCATCCATGGTCTTTACTGGCTATGGTCAGCCCCCATCACTGACTATCACCACCAGCCATTTCCCACCACTGCGGTCTGAGGCCTCATTTCTCATCTCTTGGACCCTTGTCCTTTGGGCTCCTGCCCTGGTCCTTGCTCTTTATTTAATGGAACTCTGAGCAACTTGAGCCATTAATTGATCCTCGTTTGATCTCTGGGATGCCCGAGATATTACAGCTATTGGATCTCATTTACTTTTTTATTTTATTTTATTTTTCTCTCTGCTGCAGTCATGGGTAACAAGGCCTCCAATCTCATAAGCCTCACATCTCCTCTGGGATGCCTTTTAGAAACCCTCAAACCTCTTAGCTTAATGCCACACTTATAGATTTCTAAGCTTATCCACCTCTGCACTAAAAAATGGCCTTAATATCCCTTAGATAACAATAAAAAATGGCCACCTAATGGCTCCTTGGACCCCGATATTTTATGGGAATTATCTAACTTCTGTCAGTGAATGGGCAAATGGAAAGAGTTATCTTATAGCCAATTTTTTTTCTATCTCAGCTTCAAACCCTCTCTCCTTGATTCCTACTCACCTGCCCATGTGCTCCTAGCTATGCAACTCAAACAACAGTAACCTCTCACTACTACTCTAGACCCTGCTAATGAACCCCCACCTTTCCAGCCTCCCACTCCTTCTCCTCCAGTGACTGTTCCTTTGGACCCTCCAGCCCCTTCCTCCTCTCCGGTACCGGGCCGCTCCAACCGCCAGACTCTGGCTTCCACCGTTACTCCTCCTGTCATGAGTCCTCGATCTGCTAAGGAACCCCGACCCAGTAAAACTGACCCAGCAGCCATCCTCCCTTTGTGAGAGGTAGCGGGGTGGATGGACTGGTTAAGGTACATGTCCCTTTCTCGCTGTCAGAACTCTCTCAGATAGAAAAGAAACTGTTCTTATACATCCAACTCTACCTCTTTATTAAAGAATTCTAATATATCACCCAATCCTATAGTCTCATCTTTCATGATATATACATGATCCTAACTAACAACCTACTTCCCGAGGAGCACAGATGAGTTAGGAACAGGCTGGGATACATGCAGATGAGGTCTCCAGACTAGTGCAGCACATACTCCTGGAATGGAAGCAGTTCCTGATTGGGACCTACGATGGGATTATAACACCCCCGATGGGATTATAACACCCCTGGTGGCTCTCCAGCTAGGGATCAGTTTATGACCTGCCTCCTAGCAGGTCTTCTTAAGGCTGCCCTCAAACCAGTAAACTGAAAAGCTTCAAGACATAGTTCAGGACAGACAAGAGAATCTGTCTCAATCTCTAGAAGGACTTACAAAGGCCCTCTTACAGTATACTAATCAAGATCCTGAGAGCCCAGAGGGCAGACAGCTCCTCATGACCCATTTCTTTTTGCAGAGCTTCCCTGACATTAGGGCCAAACTTAAGCATCTGGAGAGAGGGCCTCTGACCCCACAGGCAGAAGTCTTAGTGCTGGTTTTTAAGGCGTGCCATGGGAGAGATAAGAAAGCCCATAAACAGGAATAGCAAATGCTGGCCAAGGCCATCCGACTGGTCACCCAAGGGCCCCAGGTCCTTGTTTTAAATGTGGTAGAGAAGGCCATTGGGCTCATACTTGCCCTGCCCCACATGGGCCACTGGGGCCATGTCCAAAGTGCCACTAAGAGGGACATTGGTTAGTTGACTGCCCCCGTGCACCTCGTGGCATGGGGACATCAAACATAGACCACCCTCTAGTCAACCTTCTAGGCTTGACCATGATGATTGAAGGTGCCCAGGCTTCAGCCCGACAACTGTCATCTCCCACAGGGAGCCTTGGGTAGCCATTACAGTATTGGGGCAATCCATTTTTTTCCTCGTGGACACCAGGGCCACTTACTCGGTTCTGAGGGAGTCTTGGGGACCCATCTCTCCTTCTCATCTCCCTATTGTTGGGGTAGGGGGACAGCTGTACCTACCTCATCAGACCCCACCACTTAATTGTATTTTCAGGGGTATCCCTCTTACCCACACATTTTTGGTCATGCCAACCTGCCCTGTGCCCCTAATGTGAAGAGATTTTTTAGTCAAGGTAGGAGCTTCCATTTTGTTTGCTCCCCCTATTTGCCTGACCCCAGACTTGCCAGAAGCTCCTCTCCTCCTCCTAGCCACCCAGCCTACTAGCTTTAACATGTCATCTCCCTTATTAACATCTCAGGTGGACCCCCAAGTCTAGGACACCCACAACCCTTCTGTAGATAGGCACCATTCCCTTATTATTACCCATTTACAGGACCCTACCCAGTACATCAACCAAGCTCAGCACCCTCTCTCACTCAAGAGCCTTAGGTCCCCATCCTTATACACTTCTTTCCACTATCCCTTCAGGAACTTCCCATTTCTCAGTTCTAGAACTAAAAGACGCTTTCTTCTCTATTCCTCTCAACCCTCAGTCTCAAAATATCTTTGCTTTTATCTGGACTGACCCTGACACTCACCTGTCTATGCAGCTGATCTGGACTGTCTTGCCACAGGGATTCAGAAATAACCCACACCTATTTGGTCAGGCCCTAGCCTCTGACTTACTCTCTTTGTCTCTTCCTGACTAATACAGTATGTAGATGACATTCTACTCTGCAGCCCATCATTACAAGTTAGCCAACTAACACCTCTGCTCTCCTAAATTTCTTCTCCAGCTGGGGTTATAGAGTCTCGCCTTCTAAGGTCCAGTTGTCCACTCCTCAGATCACCTATTTGTGTCTAACCATACCCCAACCCACAAGGCTATTACTTTAGATAGAAAGCATCTAATCCAATCTCTTACAGTCCCTTCTACTAAACAGGAGATTCTATCATTCCTGGGAATAGCTGGCTTCTTACGGTCTTGGGTTCCATTTTTTTCTCTCCTTGCTTGCCCCTTATATGAGACAGCTCTTGGCTCCCCACATGAACCCCTCCTTCACCCATTACTAAACCTTCCAGAAGATCCAACAGGCTCTCTTCCAGGCCCCAGCATTTCATCTCCAGACCTAACTCGTCCCTTCTTTCTTTGTTACATAGAGAGAGAGGGATACACCTTTGGGGCTCTATGGCACCAGCTGGGACCCTCCTTTGCACCTGCAGCATACCTGTCAAAAAACTAGACCTCACCACTCAGGGATGGACACCCTGCATACATGCTTTAGCAGCTGCTGAGCTCCTTATTCATGAATCAAAGAAGCTAACCTTTGGGTCACCCACCACTGTCTTCTCTCACCATAACCTGTCCCTTCTCTTAACTTATAAAGGCTTACACACTTTACCTCCTCTCCCAATTCTTTCTCTCCCAGTGGCACTAGTGGAAGATGCCACACTTACTTTCCAGACTTGCCCACCCCTTAATATTTCAAGTCTCCTCCCTCAACCTAATATTGACTATTCCCCATCTCATTCCTTTACTGAAACCCTAGAGGAACTATTGCCCCATCCTCCACACATACAGGAGGGCACATTGCCTCAGGCCACTTATACCTGGTACACAGATGGCAGCTCCTTTTTACACGAGGGGACCTGTAAAGCAGGTTATGCCATAGTGTCAGATACTGAGATAATAGAAGCACAGGTACTACCCACACACACCACTAACCAACAGGCTGAGCTGATAGCTCTCACTTGTGCCTTCCAATTGGCACAGGGACAATCCCTAAATGTTTACACAGACTCCAAATATGCTTTTCACATCCTCTTGTCCCATGCTGCTATCTGGAAAGGGTGTGGGCTTCTTATAGCAAAAGGAGAATCCATATCTAACTCAGGCCATATAATAGCTATGATAAAACCCTCCCATCTCCCTAAAGCTATAGGAATTATTCAGTGCCTGTCTCCAATTCCAGAAGAATGAGGTTTCATCCCACAACCCATACTCAATCCCATTTGATTTTCTTCCTGATTCCCCTTCTGCATTCTGCTGTCTCTAGGGACCACATTCTGCTTCATCAGTTTCCCTTCCTGTCCCTAATAACATATTCAAATTTCCAATTAATTCTTCAGCTGACTGTCACAGGACCACCATCAGACACAGAGCCGGAGGTGCAGGGACCATCAAATACACCCAGGCGGTAAGAAACAGTAACACTCCAGAGGTATTCACACCCCTAGACTCAAAAGGGTCTGGACTCGGCAAAAACAGACTTCAATATAACAGTTTATTACTGTTAAATGCCCTCAGCAATCAATAACCTGTGTCTCCTGGATGCTGAAGTGATACCAAGATAATGAAAGGAAACAGGTGCCTTAAGGTTTGTCTCAGGTAAAGATAGGAAGCCTAATTGATAATAATAGGAAAAAGAAAGCATGTTGCAGATCTCTCTCTCTCTCTCTCTCTCTCTCTCTCTCTCTCTCTCTCTCTCTCTCTTGCTATATGACTCTATAACTTTAACATTAATCAATAAAATTCTGATAGCAGAGGCAAGGTGAGTGTAGGTATTGTAATGGGCAGCACAGACAAAGCAACATTCATAATGGCCTGACCTGTAGGGGGCAGCATAGACAGCTATTTTATTTATTTATTTAAAAACTTTTTTTTTTCATTTTACATACCAATCACAGCTCCTCCTCCCTCCCCCTCTCCCACCTCTCCCCACTTCCCTCCCCCATCCACTCCTCATAGGGGGTAAGGCCCCCCTTAGGGAATCAACACAGCCTGGAATACCAAGTTGGGGCAGAAATAAGCCCCTCCCCCGTGTCAAGGCTGAGCAAGGCATCCCACCACAGGGAACAGGCTCCAAAAGGCCAGTTCATGTGCCCGATATAACTCCTGGTCCCACTGCCAGGGGCCCCACAAACAGCTCAAGCCACACAACTCAGTTATTTTTATGATAGGCAACTCCTATGTACCTTTGGTACTGGCTAATCAATCATGGTGTTTCCAGGAATGAAATAGATATAAAGCCTACTGCATTTTGTTTGATTTGTATAAGCAGAAAAATAACAAATGAAAGAAGTAGCTACACTGAGTCTCAGACCCTAAACCAGTTTCCAAATGAGCCAGTTTGCAGACCAAGAACCCTTTGAATGAAGGGAAGGCCATGTCCCTTTGAGGAAGGACTTTGCTAAAATACCCAAGAGTTTTACTGTTAGTCTTTCTCCCCTCTTTCCCCAGAAGGACCCAAGGCCTTTTATAAGAGTGACTCTACACTGTGGGAAAGGAAACAATCAGACTGACACTGATTTCCAGCCAGAGAAGTCTAAGAGTGGGCCTTTGGGACCCAGAAATCATGTGCTTTTGTTAGTAGGGCCGTTGTCTTCACCCAAAGAACACAGTGCAGTGAAGTGACATTGGGCCAAGCAGCACCTTACCGTGGAAGGGCCAGTCCTGCCCACCTGCATCCCTTGGGGCAGGGATATTAGGAATAGAGAAGTGTGGGAGGATGGTGGCAAGGTCCCAAAGCAGCACCAAATTGGCAAAATGCCCTGGCTCATTCTCTCCAGAAATCAGTTCTCCCCATATCCCTGAAAGCCAGGGCAACTCTTCAGCACACTAACTCCTGAGAGCGGGAAACCTCCAAATGCAATAGCTGGTCATCCATCCCTGAGGTGGAGAGCCCCTGGAGCCAGAGGTTGGCTATGGTGGTTGAGACTCACCTTGCCATTTACGTTAGAGTGGCCTTGCAGCCCTGACTTCCTGTCCCCTGTGAATGCCACCAGCTTGTAAAGAACCCTGCTGCTCCTATTCCTTCCTGAGAATCCTCCAAATAGGCCTTACTCCTTTTTTGGGGGGGTGGGGGTGACTTTACAAGGGCATGCCCGTGTTCTTTATATTAGGGGTATAAGGAGAGGTTAAAGCGGCACAGGCTTGATCTAGGAGTGCTGCAGGCCAAGACACACCAAGGCCCCGCCACCCTGACACCCCCATCCCATGCGTGCAAGCTGACTGGGTGGGAGCCAGTTCAGTTCCCCTGAAGGGCTATTCTCAAGGATGGTGGACAGGGTCTGGCAGTCACAGAGTGTGGGCACCTAGAGTAACCCCAGGTCTGTGCTGTCACCAACCAGTACTGCTACCCTCTGGGCCTCGTTAATGCTTCCAGAGCATATACTAACCAAGGGACAAAGATTTACACAAGGATGGCCATGCACATATGTACTCTTTACTCAGCCTACACTTCCTAGGAGAGTGTTCTTTTAAGTGTGCTAGTGACTCCTCTCTATGAATGCATGTGTGTTCACGTGCACCCAGCCTTTCCTTGGCATGTATGTGTGGGTATATGCATGTGAGTTCAGTACCTGTAGACGCTGATAGGATTTCATGACCATGCATGTGCTGGCAAGACCCTTAGTTATTTCCAGGAGCCTCAGGTCCTATGTAATCCCTGCACTGTATGGTCACATAATTTGTGCACAGCATGATCACGTAATCTATGCGCATGCATGGCCTACTACATAAGCCTATATGCGCATGTGTGGGTGAGTCCATAAAAGGTGGATTCCACGTACCCTCCACGTTATTCCTGCACAAGTCTTTCAGTAGGTCTAAGCACATTCTTTTCTCCCCTACCCCTTCTCCTAATAAACTCTTATAGTGGGTTTTGTTGTCCTCATGAGTTTTCTTGCATGGTAAACAGCACCGCATAATAACTAATAGATGCCAGAAGCATCAAATTCCCCTTGAGGTAGATTTACAAGTAGAGTACACTGCTTGATGTGGATGCTGGGAAGTAAACTTGGGTTCTCTGCAAGAGGGTACATATTCCTAACTGCTGAACGGTCTCTCCAAGCCCAATTTTCACTTTTCTAAAAGCCACATTAGACAGAAAATATGACAGGAGTGGTAGCATATACCTGTAATCCCAGCATTTGGGAGACGGAGAATTATGAATTGAAGGCCAATCTGGGGTACATAGTTCTAGGTCAGCCTGGGCCACGTGAGACCCTGTCCAGAAAAAAAAAAAGGAGGAGGAGGAAAAGGAAGAGGAAAAGTAAAAGAAAGAAGAGGAGATGGAGGAGGAAGAGGAGAAGAAGAAAGGAAATGAGAAATGAATCTAATATAATTTTAATTAGATCAAATTATCCAGTCTAATTGGCCCTCTAGATCCTCTATGGCTATGGGGTTTGCATCTATAGATTCAAAAGATTTTGGACTTAAAATATTTTTGTAAAAAGCAGGGTACAGGGGTACATGTCTATAATCTCATTTCTTTGGGAGGCTGAGGTAGGAGGAGGAGGGCTTGGACCTAGGACTTCATAACTAGTCTGTGACTAGGCCTGGTATCAGAGGGGTGTAATCTTAGCTACTTCTGGGATAGGGCGACTAAGGGAAGGGTCACAGGGTCAAGGCCTGTGCCACTGTGAGTTCAAGGCTAATCTGGGTAGCTCAGTGAGACCATCTCATGATAGAAACATTTTAAAAGGGGGGTGGGGAGCTGGTGGTAAAGTTCACTAGTTGTATACCTAGCATTGACAAAGCTTCGGGTTTGATTCCCAACAATGTATAAACCAGGCGTGGTGGCACAGGACTGTAATCTTACCAAAAATACAAAGACAGAGGCAAGAGGTCACAAGTTCAAGGTCATCCTCAGCTATATAAAGAGGTCAAGGTCAATCTTTTCTCAAAAGAGAACAGTTCCTCCTGGCCCACCTCCATGATGTAGACCAGAGTCCCCTCAGTTCTTCCTGGCAGCCCCGAAGGCCTTTTCTTCTAGCTCCTCTGGCCCTCTGTGACTCCCCGGCCCTGAAGAACCTCTCTCCACCAGCTGACACACCAGGCTGAGACTTAGGAAGGGGACCTTCAACTTCCTTCCTATCCTCCATTCCTGCCTTACTCTTAGCCCACAGGAGCTCCTCCTTCCAGCCTGACCCATCCCCGACAGACTCCACCTCTGGGTGAACACCAGGTCACCCTCTTTCCTCCCCACCACCCTCTTAGCCTTTCCTTCCAGCCCATCTCCATTCCTTTGTGACTCCCCATTGACCTGCAAAACAGCTTTCTGCCAGGGACCCCTTAACCAACCAGCTTGGCTGGGATCCAGAACCACTCTCTACCACCGTCACACAGTCATCACACTTAGCTGCGACTCAAGACCCCACACAGGTCACACCTGGCTAGGACCTAGCTTGGGCAGCAGCAACCAAAGAATGGAACACTCACCCAATAAAGACAAGACCAGATAGATACACTGAGAAGCACCTCAAACATTGTAGCTCCGGATGCCTATGTCCTACTTCAAAAACACAAACATGAGCAACCAAGAAAATATGTCTCCTCCAGAAACCAGCAACCCTATTGTGTTAGGCCCTGGGAAAAGCAACTCAGCATAAGACAAGAATAAATAATTTTAAATACAGCAATTGTGAATATATTCAAAAGACCCAAAGAGGATATGAATAAAGGCTTTAATAAAGACCATGAAAATCTGGGCAGTGGTGGCACATGCCTTTAATCCCAGCACTCAGGATGCAGAGGCAGGCAGATCTCCGTGAATTCGAGGCCAGCCTGGTCTACAGAGAGAGATCCAGGACAGCCAAGGCTACACAGAGAAACCCTGTCTCAAATATCAAAAAACAATCAAACAAACAACAAAACAAAAAACATGAAAACATAGCTGAATGAAATAATGAAAACAATTCATGACATAAAAGAAGAATTTAACAAAGAAACAGAATCCCTAAAGGAAACCCAAACTGAAATAAAACTGGAAACAAAAAACTCAGGATGTCAAGCAAAAACCTCAGAGGTAAGCTTCCTCAACAGATTAAAAAACATGGAAAAGAGAATTTCAGGACTTGGAGACAAGGCAGAAGACAGTGGACAAGTCAGTCAAAGAAAATGCTAAATCAAAACACAGTCAGGCTCAAAATACTCAAAAAATCCAGGACACTATGGAAAGACCAAACCTACAAATAATAGGTATAAAGGAAAAGTAATTCAGTTCAAAAATCACAGAAAAAATATGTATTTTTTGGTTTTGGTTTTGATTTTTTTGAGATAGGGTTTTTCTATAACAGCCCTAGCAGTCCTGGAACTTGCTCTGTAGACCAGGCTGGCCTTGAACTCACAGAGGCTAGCCTGCCTCTGCCTCCCCAGTGCTGGGATTAAAGGCATGTGTCCTGCTCACATAAAATATTTTTAACAAAACCATGAAAGAAAATTTCTCTACTCTAAAGAAAGAGGTTCCCATTGAGGAACAAGAAACATACAGAACACCAAATACACAGGATCAGAAAAGAAATTCCCCACGACACATTATAGCCCAAAAACTGAAAGTACACAACAAAGAAAGTATAGTAAAACCTACAAGAGAAAAAAGACCCAATCACGTAAAGGCAGTCCCATCAGGTTAACATCCAACTTTTCAGTGGATAATCTGGAACCAAAAGGACCTATAAACTCTGTAAGACCACAGATGTCAGCCCAGACTACTAGACCAAGCAAAACTACCAACTATAATTGACAGAAAGAAAAACATTTCACATTAAAAACAAACTTAAATAATTTCAATCAAGCTCTACATAAGGCACCAGAAAAAAAAAAGCCAGCCTAAAGAGAAGGTTAACTACACCTTGTGCTCAAGTGCCTTATATAAAGTATGTACCCGTATGCAGGCTTACGTCTGGTAGAATGAATAAATAATCCTGGAACAGCTAAAAGGGAGGGGGAAAACCCACAATATAACAAATGGGAAGTAATAAACACTTTTCACTAATAATTGAAATTATTGACCACTCTCAATATTAATGGTCTCAATTTTCTCAATAAAATATATGAAGACTAACAGATTGAATTAGAAAACAGGGTCTGTCTTTCTGCTGCACCCACAAATCACACCTCACTATCAAGGACAGAAATCACCTTACAGTAACAGGATGGAAAAGGTGTTACAAGCAAGTGGAGCCAAGAAGCAAGCAGGTGTAGCTATTTTAATCTCTGACAAAATAGACTTCAAACCAAAACCAATTAGAAGAAATAGAGGACATTACTTTCATGTCGTGTGTGTGTGTGTGTGTGTGTGTGTGTGTGTGTGTGTGTGTGTGTGTGTGATATACCTGTACTACCAGTATTTATGAGACAGGTATCAGACAGATCTTGGGATGTAGCTCAGTGGCATGATTCATACCTAGTATGTAGAAAACTAATGTGCCAGGGTTTCAGGGCAGAACATAGTACAGAAGTCCTAACTTCACTCACCAGCACAGAGAGATGAAAGGATGGAAGGAAAAAAGAAAGACGTAAGCCTGCATACGGGTACATACTTTATATAAGGCACTTGAGCACATGTAGATTTTGCTGTTTGTGCGGGAGGAGTGGTCTTGGAATGAATCCCTACAGCTATCAAGGGACAATTGTATTATCATCTCAACATGTTCACATAAGCTCTTATGTTAATTTTCACATTGTTCTTCAATATCCAGCCTTGACAACGGCTGCCCCATTATGGCTCAAGGCACTTACTGGGCAGTGTGGCTTATGTGAGATTTCTGGCTTCTACACACCAAATTTCACCTTGTGCTTTCTGGAGGGACAGCTTTTCAAACTGTATAGTTTCCCTAAAGCTAAATAGTGAGCACTAAACTGAACTTATTTCCCTCGGCAAAACTGAAGACCATTGTGACCAGTTTCTGTGGTATCGTTTCCCATTAAGGGCAACTTAGGAGCCAGGGTCCATCGATCCAGATGGTCCTGCTGTGCCTGCAGCATCTTACAGACTCTAGAAGCTGAACAGAACTCTAGCTCATGGCCTGGAGCAATAACAATCTAGTTCCTACAGGAAAGCTATGGCAAACCTCAATGGCCACAAACTTGGTCATTACAGAATATCACATTCCTCCAGCTCGATCACTCTGACCATTCCTGTTACTTTCCCCATCCCATATTTGGTTATTGATAGGGTGGCTGAAAGGTCTGCATGTATGGACACTAAGAAACACACAAGTCAGAGACCTCTCTGTGTCTCACCGGGTAGCCCAGCTCCACCTCTGCCATACTCCTCCGTTCACATCTCCACATCAGCCAGTATTCCTAAGCTTCCCAGTGATACCACATCCCTCAGGACCTTCTAGGACGAAGTCCTCCGGAGCTAACAATTCTGTGGTTCCTGTCCTCTCCAGAAATCCTTCATTTCATTCTGTGGCCCATCGCCAATCCATCTCCTCAGGCCCCCAAACTAAAGGTGCAACATGGGGAGGACACGGAAGAGGGGCAACTCAATTGCCCCTGGGAGCTCACACACCCTGATTCTGGGTGTCTGACCTCACCATGCCTGCCAATACCTGTTGTTAAGAGCGTTCCAACAGCCAAAGACAACAGATGCACCAGGTAGATGGGTAGGTGCAAGGACCTGAGATCCCTCTGTCACACACTCTGTTACCACCATCTGCTTATACACCATCCCAGTCATGACCACAGGAGCAGATCCTTCACATTTGAGCCTGGGATAATCTTTCTGCCAGACTTCTACTCTGTGTTCCAAGGCAGTCAGATGGCTCCAGTCCTGTAACCAAAATAATCCCCATATGGGAGCTAGACCTGGGCCTGGGAAGGGTGGGTAAGGAGCTGTCTGCCATGTTCTCTTGTTTATTCCATTACCTGTGGAATGAAGGCATGATGAAGAGGTATGAAGGTGTCAGACAGAAGGACCCTAGCCTGCTTGGACCAGTCCTTGATCCGGCAGAACAATCCCAAATGTGGCGCCAACTAAGGTCCCTGGAAGTTGAATTGGTCTGCAGACTCTGGGAGGAGACCCACAGAAAGACTGAGCCATTCTGAACCAAGCCAGCCTGTGGTTCTCCGCCCCTCCCCCCATCCCTGCCACCCTCGGGCCCACCTCTAACCTCGGGTCTCTGATGTGGGCAGAGACATGGATACCGAGTCCTGGGGATCGCTCGCCAGCCGCTGCCCAGCACACATGGACTTCAGTATCTGGAAGACGGCCAGGGGAGCCACGTTCAGATTCAGCAAGTCCACCAGGATCCTGTGTAAACAAATGCGGTGCTTAGTGAAACATGGAAGCCTCGGAGCGGACCTGCTCCATGAGCCGGGGCAGCTGGGCCACCACCCTGAAGACCAATACAGAGACAAGGGAGTTTTCAGAGTAGCGGATGGGGGCCAGAGGGGTCCTGAAGCAGGCTTATCTGCACGGAGCACGACCCTCGCCTTCTCACTTGAACACATCGGGGTCGATGGTGGCACCAGCAGCCTGCGCAAGCTCGTACAGCTCCATCTCCTCAGTTCCCAGCACCTTCTTCCGCCGAAGCGCCAGCTTCTGCAGCGTCGCCGCCTCCAGTCCTGTGGATGTCCCGAGCCCAGCCCCACAACCGGCTGCCGCCATTCGTGCAGGAAAGGGGAGCGTTGGGCCCAGGCCGCCAAGAGGTTCCACAGCGCCTCCTACTGGCCGCCCGTTTCCACGCAGGGTCCCTGCAGGTCCCAGCCAGGCGTCTCCAGCGAGGAGGGCGGGGGTCGGGAGGAATCTTTACGTAGTTGATTGCTTGACTTGTACTGAGCTCCTAGTGTTAGGCATGGGGATAGTGTGATGGAAAGCTGTCCGCTGTATGGAGACCAGACCCCTGATAAACCACTCGCTTAGGTAGCAACAACCAGAACCATGCCTGGCATATTCTGGGTACTTGGTAAATGCCTGTTCTTTGACGGGTATTCATGATTGCACGTAATTATCTCTTCTGCCCTGGATCCCTAAACAGCTTTTGCTTTTATGGCGTACACACACTCCTTCCCCTCTAGAATGCTTATATTTAGGAGTAAATGGGCGCTGACGCCATCACTGCGCACGCGCTTTTCTGGCCCACCGGACTGACTGTACGCGCCAGTCTTCTTTTGCTTTGCGCATGCTCCTTTCTCTGTTAGTGGAGGCGCTTTTCCCACTAGGCAGGGGGCGTGGCTTGAGGACGCACAGCCCGATAACGCTTTTCCGCTTAGTGTGGCTGGACAGTGGCGTCTGTTTCTGAAGATAGGTGGACCCACACAGTGACCAGAGATGAACTCAGCAAGTCAGCTTGGCCTGTGTGATGAGAATGGAAAATGCCTGACCGGCCACCATGAGACAGGTGTCACTGCCATCTGTGCAGAGTGACCTGAGGGGCCAGTCCAGGAGGCCCATGAAGGGGGAATGGGACGAGGAGGGGCATTTAAGATTTGTGCAGTGGCACTCTGGGAGAAGCTTTGTCTCATAATGCTCTGTTTGGATATTTTTTTTTAACCTTACTGGTCTTTTGCTTATATATTGTGTGTGTCTGTATGTGTATGTTTCTTGTGCTGGATCTTCACTTTTTCTCTGTTTTGTTTCATTTTGTTGTTTTTGTTTTTTCAGTGTGTCTGTTTGCTAGTGAGAGCGGAAGTAGGCCTTGGGTTGAATAGGTGGAGAGGAGGGAGGAGAAACCAGGATCAGATTATAGGGGATGAAAAAAGATATTTTCAATAAAAAAAAAAATATGTGGCATGAATAGTCTCCGTTCTTAGAAAACATTGTCTATTATGGGAAGGGGAGAGTTTAGAGCATCTGTTCAGTACTCAGCCTATCTCCTTTCTTCCCTGAACTGGACACAGCTTCCCTGGGTCTGCTGCTCTTCATTGCTTCACACCACCTATACTTCATGGACCTTTGGCCAGTCACCAGGGGCCAGGCCTCAGGACTAAACCCTGGGGTGGATTTGTAGTCCTGGCCCTCCAGGCTGTAGACCTGGCTTTACACGTTGAATGGGGTATGTGTCACAAGTGAGGATCATGGTGACAGGAAGCTGCTGGTGACTGTGAAGAGCCAGTGCTGGCTGTGGGGACTGAGTTTGGCTCCAAAAACAGACATTACAGGATGTGTGTGCATCTAGACTGGTACCTGCTTCCCAGGGTGGGACATCCAGGTGTTTGTTTGCAGGATTCCAGAGCATTTCCTCAGGTTTTTGCACAGCTGTGGCTTTGCTATACCTGTAGGCCCTGCCTCTTTAGTTTCTCAGGGGGTTGATGGGCTTGTGTAGGTGGAGGTGGTGGCTCCAGTATCCAGCTCCTATGGCTCAAAACCCCCAAAATTACAAACAGGAGGCAAATCCAGATGTTATGCAGCACTATCCTACCACACAGCTGTTCTCTTTTTGAGAGTGGCTGTGCCTCTTTGTAAGTGTATCCCCTCAGGCCCATGGATGGGCGGTATTGCTTCATAAAGGAAGATCAAGGTCAGGTCATTGGACCCTCACTTGAGTCACTCCACCTGGCCATTTGCATACGATAATGCCCTAATCATGCATGGCCTCAACTCCAGAAATGCCAGAAGGTTAATTAGTTAAGGTTCCTATTGCTGCAAGGAAACACCATGACCAAGAAGCAAGTTGGGGAGGAAAGGGTTTATTTGGCTTACACTTCAGCATTGCTGTTCATCACTGAAGGAAGTCAGGACAGGAACTCAAACAGGTCAGGATCCCAGAGGCAGGAGCTGATGCAGAGGCCATGGAGGATTGCTGCTTACTCATTTGCTTCCATGGTTTGTTCAGCCCACCTTATAGAACCCAGGACCAACAGCCCAGGCCCACCATGGACTGGGCCCTACCCCACTGATCACTAAATGAAAAAATGCCATACAGCTGGATCTCATCAAGGCATTTCCTTAACTGAGGCTCCTTCTGATGACTCTAGCTTGTGTCAAGTTGACACACAAAACCACCCAGTACAGCTAGATTGTATAGGTTGAGGGAGGGTAATTGAGGGCTCTTGTACACACACCTAGGCACTCAAACATTTACATACTCCCTCACACACATTATCATACTCACACATAATCACACACACACACACACACACACACACACACACACACATTTGTACATTGTGTTGGCTAGTGTTTTGTCAACATGACACACAATAGAATCATTTGGGAAGAGGGAACCTCAATTGAAAAAATGTCCCCAATCAGATTGACTTTTGGGCAAACCTGTGGTGCATTTCCTTTTTGATTGATTGATTGATGTCAGAGTGCCCAGCTGACTATGGGTGGTGCCACACCTGGGCAGGTGGTCCTGGAGGGTATAAGAGAACAGGCTGAGCAAGTCATGGGAAACAAGGCAGTAAGCAGCACTTCTCCAGGGCCTATGAATCAGTTACTGCCTCTGTGTTCCTGCCTCGAGTTCATGAGCTGACTTCCCCAGATGATGGATCACAACCTACAAGATAAAATAAATCCTTTCTTCCCCAAGGCACATTTTTTCCACATTCTTTCACCCTTAGAAATACATACGGTCGTGCTCTAGAATCTTCACATACATTTACACTGTCATGTACTCACAATTATTCCCATTTTGCATGCAATTATATATTCTCACAGTGTTGAATGCTCACATAACTTCATACTTAAATGAACATATTGTTTTGTTTGTGCCCATATGAGTATGATTTGGTGTACATGGGTTTGAGTGTAGGATTTTGTTTCTTTTGGTATGTTCTTGGAAGTACAATTGAGTGGTGTGTGCCTTTAGTCATTACAGAGAAATGACTAAGGATGTGTGAACATTGTCATACACGTATATAATCACACATTCATACCTTTACACATTCTTCATACATCCTTGCACATACTCAGACTCTCTGTGCTAGTTTTTTTCAGCTTACTGCAAACCTAGACATTACCTAGAAGAAGAAATCTCAGTTGATGAACTGTCTTTTTCAGTTTGGTCTGTGGTCATATCTGTGGGGCATTTTCTTAATTACTATTAATGAAGGAGGAACCAACCCACTGTGGGTGGTGCTATTCTTATGCACCTGAGCATGGTCTATATAAGAAAGGTAGCTGAGCACACGAGAAGAAGCAAGCCAGAGGAAGCCAGCCAATAAGCAGCTTTACTCCATGGTTTCTGCTTTCAGGTCCTGCTTTGTGTTCCTGCCTTGGCTTCCTTCACTGGTGGGTGAACCTGCAAGCTGAAATAAACACTTCCTTCCCAAGTTGCTTTTGCCTATGATGCCTATCACAGCAACAAAATGTAAGTTGATCATGATGCTACATACTTGCACACTATAAAACACACACTCAATATACATTCTGCCACTGATACTCATGTGAACTCACACACTTACATACTTTTCTTCTTGCACCCACAATCACACATTCAGACTTATTTTTGTGTGTGTACACACACACACACACACACACACACACACACACACACACACTTGCACGGTGTCACAAACTCCCCTTACATTTTTACACAGCTGCTGCTCTGACACTCACTTGCACTGAACATACTTATGCATGTTTCCATTATACACTGTCACTTCTGTACACACACACACACACACACACACACACACACACACACACACACACCACTCTATTATACTTCCAAACACATACCCAGAAACACAATCCTACACTCAAACCCATTTACACCAAATCATACTCATGTTAGGCACACACCAACTTTTCACACAAATACACACAACAAGATACTTGAACATACTATTGCACTCACCCACACTCATGCTTATAAACACACAGTCTCACACAAGCTCATAGTGTCCCACACTCGCTTAATAACTCTGACCCTAACCTATCCCTAACCCATTAATGATCTTAACCATAGCCCTAATTCTAACCCAAACCCTAACAGTAAACCTAACCCTATCCCTAAACAACCTGCGACCTAAACACAGCACTAAGCCCGACTCTAACACTAGCCCTAATGCTGTACCTAACACCATTCCTAACTCTAACCCAAGCCCTAACCCCAAATGTCATCCCTAAAGCAAGCACTAGGCCTAACCATAGTTGTTAACAGGAGCAGAACCATAAACCTAGCCATAATCAAAGGTCTAAATGAAGCCCAAATCTTTCTAAACCACCTCCCATAATTCTATCACTAACTCTAACCCTAAATCTAATCCTGAACACAGTCATGCACAAGTACACACCAAAGCTTACAAACTCTTACACACACTGACTATCACTAACTGGGTGGGTGGGGTGTGTGTGAGGGGAGCCCTCCAGTCAGCACCAGGGTATGCAAAAAAATCCATGAATGCAGTGAGGGCTTAGGAAATTCTTATCTATCTGAGGGCTAGACATTTTCTATCTGAGGGGAAAAATAAGGAAACACACATGCTTTCTGATGGTAACTTTCTCTTTCACGTCATCTTAAAAAATCTCTTTCTCTGAAAATCTGTCTCCACAGAGCTACATCTCTTTATAGCTCTGTATCTCTCTTTACATACATGTGTCTCAGAATCTCTGAAAATCTCTCCTGCCTAGCTACTCACCCTCTGTCTTCAGCTCCCTCTAACACACACTGACTGTCAGCTCTTGACACACATTCTAATACACGCTGACTCCTCTTTACACATCAGCCCCCCACACAGCTCTACACAACCCTCCCCCTTCCAACCACACTCTGCCCAAACAGGAATTACATTTTCATAGTCACAAAGAATTTCTTGAATAAACAATCAGTGACAGAGCCAAACTGATACTCATAAGCAATCACACGGTTTCTCTCAGGCTAGGAAGGTCACATTGACTGGCCAGTGAGTAATGCTTAGCCAGGCATGTAGCTTGAGTGGTTAGTGTTCCCAGACAGAAAATGACATTGAAATTCAGAACTTAACAATAACAATTAGTTGGCTGAACCTTGAGTGGTTGGAGTATGAACAGAAAGAGAATTACTGGGTTATGTCTACAAAAGTTGCTTCAAGTCTGACTTTGATTTAGCAATAAACACCTGGCAATTTGTCCTTGTGTATTCTCAGTTAGTCTGTTTCAAATTTGTTCTGAATTCCAAAATTAGCTGTCTTTGTGACTGAGAATACTATTACTTTCCTATGTCAGTTATGAAAAATATTCTAATATTATTAGAATTATACAATTTAAGCAGAAATCATCTTCTTGACCATCCATAGCTGTATGTGTGCCCAGAAATGTAAAACTCACTACCAATGGGCTGTGGAAAGAACCCACAGCTGTTCATTTTAGGGAAGTAAGTGGTGGCATCTGAGAAAGTTACAGACAGAAATCAACCAGTTTCCAAAGCCAGGGACCCCACGGACTTTGCCTAGTGGGGCTCCCCAACAGAGAGTTATTTGTCTGGTGGGTCAACCTGCCAAATACTAGTTGTCACCTGCTGTATACTCCCACAGTCTCCTGCAACTTACAATACTCTCATGCACACTTATTCCCCTTGCAAACATTTCTAAACTCACCTCTTACACACTTGCAAATTCTCACATGTGTACATGCATACATAATCACACATACAGACAATTATATATATATATATCCTCTTTTATTTTAAGATTATGATATAATTACATTATTTCCCCTTCCCTCTCCTCCCTCCAAGCCCTCCATATCCCTTGTTTTTGTTCAAATTTATCACCTTTTCTTCATTAATTGCTGCTATATGCAGCAATTAATATACATATATACATACATATATATATATATATATACACATACACATGTACATATATATTCCTAAATATAACCTACTCATACTGTATAATGTTACCCATATGTATGTTTTTAGGGCTGATCATTTGGTATTGGATAACCAATCAGTGTGCTTTTCCCTGGGGAAGACTATTTCTCAGTATTTTTCAGTATTGTTTAGTTGTCTGTAGGTTTTGTGTAGGGTTGAGGCTTCATGGGCTTTTCCCCATCCATTTTGGCATAACTATTGGTGTTATCCTTATTCAGCTCATGTTTGAGCAGTTATGTTGATGAGACTTCATGGTTATAACTTCTGACATTATGAGCAGATGTGATTTCACAACAAACTCCTTGATCCTCTGGCTCTTACAATCTTTTACCCCCTCTTCTCCAATGTTTCCTGAGCCTTAGCTGAAGGAGTGCTTTGTAGACATATCTTTTGAAACTGGGCTCCACAGCTCTGCCTTTTGAGTAGTTATGGTTTTCTATAGTAGGGTTCATCTGTTGCAAGAAAAGTTTCCTTCATGAGAAGTGAGGACTACACTTATCTATGGGTATAAGGACAAATGTTTAGATTGTTGTTAGAATTATGCTAGTTTAGTAAGGTGATGGTTGTAAGTTCTTCTTAAGATCCATGACTTTACTGGCCCTGGGTGGGTGGCTAGGTTTTCAGTGCCAGGCATGGTTTCCCTACTGTTGAGTGAGTCTTAAGTCCAACTATAGAGCTGCTGGTTACTGCCAAGGGACACATACCACTACTGCACTTTAGGGTTTTTGTGTACATTGGTTGTTGTGGTTTGTAGGCATCTTGTGTGACTAGGAGTATTGGTTACTTCTCTCCTCTGGAAGCTTGCGTGGTGTCTTCTGGTACCATGAAACCTAGTCCTCAGGGGAAGAGGCATCCAGTTCAGTTTCAGTTAGGGGCCTTTGGGTCCTGTGTCTGAAGTGCACGGTATCTTCGCAATGGGGACTTACCTTCTACTTCTGCAAGGCAACAAAGGCCAATAGCAATAGCCTGTAATGTTCTGGGGATTTCTTGGATGGACAGCCCTGATCAACAATTCGGAAGAGGGCTTCTAATGTCTGGTATTAGGGTTTTTGTTAGGTGGTCTTTGACTTCTGGAGGGAGCATTGTCAAGAGGGATGAGAAAAGTTCATTTAAACTATGTATGTATATTTATATACAGATTATATGTATTTTAGTTTACTTAAGGTAAATAGATAATAGTATGATTCCTTATTATTTTTTCAGACACCCTCATTGTTGTGTTACCCTCCTCCATCCTTCTGTATTTACTTCCCTGCACCTTCTTTAAAGTGCCTCCTTTTTACATTTCCCTAATAGGATCACTTGTACCCTGCCATTACCCTCTCTACTGCTCTCCAACCTCCCTATTCTGACAGTGGTTCATTTTTCTTTTCCTGCTTTCTGCAGCTATTTGAGGCTGTGTACTCATATCTAAAGATTTGGAGCTAGGAGCCTCCAATGAGAGAGAAAATGTGACATTAGTCTTTCTGGGTCTGAGTTATCCCACTCAGTATGATTGCTTCTAGTTGTTGAATAACCTGAAAGCCTCATGGCCAGCGGGGAGATGATCCATGCAAGGTGAAGACTGAAACTCCAGTTAGTACCATCTTTGCAGACACTAGGTCAAAACCTCCAGGGTCGGACCTCATGATTTATTCTTCTTCCTCTTTTAAGTACACTAAAACTTTGGGAAAAGGTTTCAGTGACTATCATCACAGCAAAGCTTTATGCATAGCTACACCATTTTGCTCAGGAGATTGTCATAATCAATCCACAGAATTAAGAGAGCTCTCCCCAAGCATTGTTAAGATTCTTTACATCTATTGGGTCCTGTAACAGATGAAGCCATGACAGCTTTTTTTTTTAATTGCCTGACCCATGAATAGTTACTGGAATACAGAGAAGTCTCAAAAATAGCCTGTATGATTAGTAAAACTACTGATATTACAGCAAAGATATTAGCAGAAATCAACCAAGAGATGGGTCCATTGAGGACCACAGTTTTATAAAATAAAGCAGTAGATTATTTGTTGCTCAAACATAATCTTGGTGTCAACAATTTCCTGTCATGTGTTGCTTTAATGTGTCAGATTTTCCCACACTATTGATAGTCAAATTAAAGATCATATATATATATATGATATGTATATATGTATATATACCCAATATATATACAATTTCCTGAGCAAAATGGGTGTAATATAGCCTATTCCACATAAACCTTTATAACTTGCAAGGAGGCCAGAATTAGTAGCATTTTCACACAAAAAAGTTCCATCCCAAAGTTCACCAGAGGGAGAGGTGTGAATAGAAGTGGAATTGCACTAGAGAGGAATATAAGTAAATTCAAAGCATAAGCAATGTGATAGAAAAGCAACATTGATGGGAATATGAGGGGAAGCTCTGTGAATAGAGGTATGGGTGTTTTCTATATTGTCCACTATATTTGTGCATAGTGCTTGTGCTTACTCCTATGACAAATAATTTTTTAAGAGCCTAGGAGTAGATGGGTCCCCTCTGATACAAAAAGATTT